TCTAGGAATGGAATTCCTGGGCCATATGGTAATTGTGTCTAACTTTTTAAAGAACTGCTAAACTGTTTCCCAAAGTGGCTGCACAATTTTACATTCCCATTAATAGTGTATGAGGGTTCCAATTTCTCTATATCCTTGTCAACATTTGTTATGGTCTATCTTTTTGATTATAGCCATCTTATTGGGTATTAACTAGTATCTCAAAAGTTTTGATTTGCATTTCCCTGATGGTTTGGAACATCTTTCATGTGATTATTAGATATCTGTATATCTTCTTTGGAGAAATGTTTATTCAAATCCATTATACATCTTTAATTGAGTTGTAAGCATTCCCTATATATTCTGGATGACCAGTCCCTTATCAGATATATGATTTGCAAAAAGCTATTTTCTGTCTTTCTGTGGCCTGCCTTTTTGCATTCTTGAAAGCACAGAGTTTTAAATTTTGATGTAGTCCCCTTTGTCTATTTTTTCTTTCATTAGGAGCTTTCTTATCTAATGCTCATGGTAATTGTGAGGAGTAGGAACCATTAATCCCGGTCCACAAAATGATGAAAATGAAGCCTAATGAAGTTAAGTAAATGACCCACAGCCTACACATGGCTCCTGCACGTGGCTCTGCCCGCATGCCTAACACAGCAGCACACAGCAGTCTTGGCTGTGTGTTGAAGCGGGGTATGAACGCAGACCTTCTGAGTAGGCCAGAGTTCTGCCTACTCACACACTCTGAGTATTATAATGTAAAATGGCTAATTTTAAAAGAAACTGCTCAGATATTATACATTGAACCTTCTAAGGATGTTGCCATTACTTAAAATGAGGAGGTTTTGGAGCTCATCTTTGGACTGAGAGGTGGTCAGTGGTGTATTTTATGAACATACGGAATTATAGCCAGGGTGGACTTGAGTTTATTAAGAAGCCAAAAATCCTGGGTGCCAAGTCCATAGAATGAGGCAAATTATTAGGCTGGATTATACCATTTTGGATTTATATGTCCCTCTACACATGCCAATCAATACAAAGTGTGAGCAATGTTTTATCAAGGCTCAAAACAGATCTAAATCTCAAAACAATGTGTCCAAAAATGTTTGTAGCAATGGAAGCCAAATATAATACATATCAAAGAATATTTATAAAATGTATAAAAGGTAATTGCTTCGTTACATTTTTAAACATTTTAATATAAAGCAGGACCATCTTTTTCCTTCTTGGTTATACCTGGTATATTTGAATTAAAATCACTGAATTAGTAGAGCTAAAAAGGATCTCACATATGCTTCAATCCCCTCATTTTAAACAGGGGAACAGGTACAAAACACTGAAGTTCTCATTCAAGGTTACTCGCGAGAACACACGAGAACCAGGACTAAAATTTCAGGACTCAGTTCCCATGTTCTATTTCTTAATGTTAGCTGTCTTTGCTTTGCTTTTAGCATTTATGATCTTCTCCCTTCTCTCTCTCCCATAGACATCTAAGTGGATTTATACCATCCAAGACTCCTTTTCTGAAGGGTGGGGAACTCTGCCCAAACTTCATTGTCTATTCTCCAGTTGGATCCCTCTCCAATACCAATTTATCTAAACATTTCAAATCCATGTAGATAACTCTGACAGCAAATAAAAAGAACAAATTTTATAAAGTGAGTTCTAAATGAGATACTGCCAAGCTCTATTTCAAAAACTAGGCTCTGGTTTCCAATGTAAGAATTAAATGGCTTTCTGCCTGTTTCTGCCTTTCCTCCCTCACTCAGGAGAGAGGGCCAAGGCTGAATCTTGAGGGATTGCTTCATGAGGAAAAACGAAGGCAGGGCACAGTCCCAGGAAGGCCAGTGCAGGTTGAAAGTTAGCTAGCAGAAGGCTCTGGGAGAAGGGAACTGGCTTCATGATCAGGCTAGCTCAGTCCCCGGAGCGATTTCTCTCCATCGGAAACAGGTCTGAGTGCTGACGCGGGGGTTTCCCACAGCTTCGGCTGGCCTCTGAAGGCGTATTTGTCGTCAGAGGCTCTTGATGAAGCTGTACATAAATATCTGACTGTTGTTAAATACAAAACAAAACAAAAAAATATTCCACAGGAACAAAATCAAAACCAGCTGTGAGGGGGAGAGGCCAAAACCCAGTGTAAGTGCAAAAGGCTCAGCAGAAACACTTGTTAATTGTGTTATTTACTTTGCTGAATAGTAAATTGCTGTGCCAATGAAGTCATATCACATGACCATAATGTTTTTCATATGACTCTCCTGTTATGAAAGAAATGTGCATTTTATTTTCTAGAATTCTGAGTTCTATAGTGGATGAGTCAGGATCTGAATTTTAGTTTGGAATCAGGCCATCAGCTCAGCTCTGTTCATTTCTGCTGGCCTGTTTATGATTTCACAGCCTATGTTATAGTTGTTGCTAAACTTTTTTAATGACCATTCATCAATCCCCAAAATCTGCAGAAAGGAAGTTCTGTTTAGCAAAAACTTAAAAAACGCAAATTATATTAATGGAGCACTGTAACTGTAGCCCTGGAATCATAACTACATAGTTCAGCATTCAATACTGATTATAGTCAAGGCAAGGGAATAAAACAGCCTAAAATTAATCCTGGAATCAGGGAACTTGCAAATTTTCATGAATAAGAATAAAGTATTTCACAGAAGTTGGGTTATGGGGTTTGGGAATTTGAATTTCTAAAGGATATACCAATATAGCTTGTTTTATTAACCCTCTTATGAATCAGTCTCCTCTTTAGTTAGATTAATTTGGAAAATATTTTGGTATTTCTCATGGCATCACTCTGAACCCCTAGTTGGAACAAAATAAATGCATGTGGGCTGATACTTACTCTATTCATAGGATGAAAAATAACCCTAGAAAGATAAGTCACAGCAAATTTTATGAAACATGGCTAAGGCATTCACATGTTTGATTAGATTGACCCTTTCTTCAACAAATGTAGCAATTTAAAAAAATACTTGGTGAGAACCTCAACAGCTCTGCGACTTGGACACCTTGTGGTTCATCAACTTTAAGGGGGTTTGCTTGGGTTCCAAGTAGCATAAATAGAAGTATAGGAGGAAGAGGAAATCAGGGTCAGTCTCCAAGTATCCAAACCCATTCTCAATAAGAGCCTTGACAATAAAGGTCAGAACTTTATGCAAAATTTCCTAATTCACATGGTAACATTTTAAGAGGGTAGGAAGCTGAATGGGCCCTTTTCTCCTTGGGGCCTTCTAATCCTCCATGGGCAGAACGTAACTATAATTTGGCAGCCAGATGGTTTATATACAAAGAATATGGAAGCTGTCCAAGTCCCCTTTGTTATGGAATATAATGTTAGCAAAGGCAACTGACATTTATGTGGTAAGTATTTAAAATTTTTAATCTATAATTTCAGATAAAATTAATCGACCATGCACATTTCTCATTTAATTTTTTTTTTTACTGCATCCTAGCTCTCTAGCCTCTCCTCACTGTGCTAAAAGGAAGAGGATAATTCTCTTTTATCTGGCTACAGCAATTTACCAGTGCTGTTTTTTTTCTCCAAGCTCCATCTCCATCCCATTTCCAGTGCCATCCAGCCATTTTCACTCACTTATCCCATCACCTCAAAATCATGACTACCCAGAGCAAACTCATCTTTCTAAGTCTAGGCCCCCAGTACCCACTCTGCAAGCTTGCACCTTGACCCCTCCTCTGACAAAAACTCACTTGGTAATATGCCTGCTAATCTCAATAGCAATACAATTATGCCAATAACTTAGATTAAAATCATTGCGATCATTTTGTGATATTTGATAATGGACGGGGATGGGTATAAACATTGGGTTACATTTGTCAATCTCACTAAATCTGGATGATTCTATCTTTAATATATCTTCTACTCCATATTATCTGTTCCTTTCAATGAATAAGAAGGAATTTGTAGCCCCCAGTGTGATTGGCTTTGCACTCCTCCTTCATAAAAGGTATTTGGGGGAGACAGACCACAAGTGCTAAAGAATATGGAAAACTTAATAGCATCGAAACGTTTTTCTTTAAATAAAGACCTATGTACCTTGCTACAACATGGATGAACCTTAAAATAATAAAGATGCCAGACACAAAGGGTCATGTATTGTTCCATTTACGTGATGCATCCAGAATAGGCAAATCTACATAGACAGGAAGTAGATTAGTGGTCGCCAGGGGAATAGAAGGAGGAGGATACCAATTAATAGGTAAAGAATTTGTTTTGGGGGCAATGGAAATGTTCTAAAACTTAGAGAGAGTGGTAACGTTGCATGACTCTGAAAGTACTAACCACCATTGAATTGTACACTTTAAAAAGATGTGTTCATAATTATAGTATATGAATTATAATTCAATAAAGCTGTTATTTAAAAAACATTATCTTGATTTCAAGTAACTGGCTCCAACCACATCAGACTACTTGATTTTGTTTGTGTTTTTTTTTTTATTTTGGCATATTATGGGGGTACAGATTTTAAGGTTTCAATAAATGCCCATTCCTCCCTCCCCCCACAAGTCTGAGTCTCTAGCATGACCATCCCCTAGATGGTGCACATCTCACTCATTATATATGTATATACCCACCCCCCTGCCCTCTCCCAAGACTACTTGATTTTGAATGACACACTAAAGACTCCTGGCCTTGGAGACCTTCATTCAATTTAGAATGCCTTAGGCCTCCTGCTCTCCCCTTCCCTACTCTTTCTCTGCCAAAATTCAACTTTTTATTTTTTTTATTTTTTGGTAGGGACAGGTTCTTGCTCTGCTGCCCAGGCTTCAGCACAGTGGTGCAATCATAGCCCTCTGCAGCCTTGAACTTCTGGGCTAAGGCAATCCACCTGCCTCAGCCTTTGGAGTAGCTAGGGCTATAGAAGTGTGCCACCCTATCCCACTAAGCTTCTTCTTCTTCTTTTTTTTTTTTTTAACTTTTTGTAGAGACAGGGTTTTACTGTGTTGCCCAGGCTGGTCTTAAACTCCTGGTCTCAAGTGATCCTCCAGCCTCAGTCTCCCAAAGTGCTGAGATTATAGGCGTGAATTACTGCACTCGACTCCAACTTTTATTTTTAAAAATACCCAACTCATCCTTTAAAACTAATTGAAATACTTGTTCTCTTCTGTGAAGCTTTCTTTGACATCCCTACTCTCCTGGGCAGAAGTAACTGCTCTCTCAGCACTTTATAAATGATTAAAACATTTTTGATGATATTAGAGCTCACTATTTACATCTCAGCTTCTCATACTAGATTATGAGCCCATGAAGGTCAGTGTCTCATTAACTTCTATAATTAGTTACTAGCATAATGTTTGGTATTAAATTTTCAAATGACATTCAGTAAACTTTAAAAAAATACATATTTTATAAACAAGATATATAATAATACTGTCACATACAATTATTTAGCTGAATCTTTTGCAATTCCAATGTTGACTGATGAAAACAGTTAACCTAAAAATGAGAATTCAGCATCCTGATTGTGTTGCTAAAATAAACCTTTCTATGTCAAATGCAGAATTTTGCATATTTTTTACCAAACATCTGTAAATGCACTGAAAATCAGCACATAAATATAAACACATTTACACAAGCATGTGTATATTTTGATATACATGTTTATTTTGCTTACACACACACACTTTTCAAAGTTGTACAAAATGATGTAGGCAGGATGATATTTGTTGCTATGAGGTCCTCCAATGAGTATTGTATTTTAGACCTTATCTTAAAACATAGTCCTATTTAGAGGTAAGAAATAATGACCCTTTTCTAAGACTGAGGTTACAAACCCAAATACCTCTAAGGGTCATCGACTGAAGAGAATCACCCAAGTGGAGAGTATCACCTAAAGAGTATCTCTGGGCAAGAATCTCACAACGGTGTTTGTCTCCAGGAAGGGAACCGTGGAGCTAAGGGACAGGTAGGTGTAGAAGGAAGACTTCCTTTTTACAGAATATTTCTTATACCTTTAAATTTCATATCAAGTGCATTATTTATCTATGAAATTTACTTCTCAGCTCCAGCTAACCATCACTATTAAGGAATGCAGGTCTGGAACTGCCAGATGTAACTTTTCAAAGAAATTAGAAAAGAGAAAATTCAGACTTTTATGTAAAACTCATGTTTTATGTAAAAATTCAGACTTTTATGTAAAACTTTTACTTATGTAAAACTCATTTTTAAATGTTGGCTTTATTTAAATTTAACACATACAGCAGGCCAAAAACAACACACCTGTAAGCCATAGCTAGCTCATAGGCCAGCTAGTTTACCATCTCTAATCTAATATTTGATGTTTGGCTTATGATTCCAAAACTATAAATATAATTTAATGGAGAAAAATTCAAAAGGAAAACTCAGACTTGTGGATGAAACCATACTCCCTTCTGCCTGCCCCACCATCTATTGTTCTCTTAAACTTCCCCTTCCTTCTCTTCTGAGTCTTTAAAAAAGCTATTAACATTTGGCCAACTAAAATGCAAAACATTAAATCAAGGAATCTGCCCATTATCCTAGTATCTGTTCTGTTGTAAAGAGTGAAATATACGGTCAATTTCGAGTTACAATTCTTCTGTCCAACTAAAGAGAAACATGTAAATTACTTCAGCTAAGTAGCTAAGCACCCCCAAGCCATCTCATCAAATGACTATATGGTTGCAAGGATCTATAAGTTACTTATCCCATACATCAGGCAGAATAGAACTGCTCAAAAGACAATATGGCAGGCAATCAAAATAGTGTTCTGAACCTATCTGGTAACTCAATCAAAATTCTGGGGACAGGGGTCAATCTCAAAGTTCTGTAGAGATGACATTCATCTCCTGAAACTGAAGATAAGAGATTTCTTGTGGTTCCAACTACTGGCCATAAGTGGAAGACTGTATCTGTTTAATGCCTGGAGGACATCAAAGCAAGTTGAAGAAGAACTGGTTTCAGTTCTAAGTCTAGCATTAGAGATGTACTATCTTGCCTCCCCAGTGTGCCTGAAAAGCTTATCCCAATCTTCTAAAAGCTCCAAGGGGTTTGACTCTAGTATTCACACATGGTTTTTCTATACTCAGTGTTAGCTCCACCTCTCCAAACAATAGCCCTTTTGCCACTGGCTGGTCCAATATTGAGCCAGGCCATCTATTCACTGACTACTTGGGACCTCCTCTAGTGGTGAGGATGCCCAACCTATGGGGAGTTTATCCATCAACAGGACTAATGGCAACTTTGCTAGTGTGGCACCCCTGCAGAACACAGGCAGTAAATGTTTTCCTTATATAGCTTGTAGAAACGCTTCATAAGTCACATTTCTAATAGCTTCTTCACCCAGGTAACTAAGGGGAAAAATGTTGATTTCATCTCATTTAAATCCCACTCAACTATTCTGAGGAATTGTACATTTTGCCAAGTGACTCGAATAGCTCTACTATCATACGCAGCATTCCCATTTCTAAGAACAGTGAGCATTTGAAAAAAATAAAATGATAATCTATTTTTAAAACTGAGCCCTTACAAAAGATGATGCAATGACCAGGACATTAAGATCTGTAAGATATTTTAGCTGAGAAAAAGTAACTCTCTCAGGTTATGACTGGGGAAGCCATCTCATGATGGGGTTCCATGGCCTAAGAAGACTGATCAAATTGTGAAATATAAGATAGGCACGTTGTTTCTGAAGAACATGGCCTAGAGTCCAATATGTTCTTTCTTAAGAACGTGGCCAGAGTTCAATGTCTTTACTGACTTTCATTTTGAAATATGGACATTAGCCAATTCTCCAACAGCCATACGCACATGCAGATCTTCAGTAAGTACAAGAGGTACTTGGCAATCAATAGCCTGTACTTCCTTTATCAGTAATTTTGTGCATTAGACACCTATTGGACAGAACCTGCACATATAGTAATTGCTGAAGGTTCTTTGTTCACTGATATCGAGAAGACTTATTTAGCTGTATTTGCTCTAAAGTAAAAAAAAAAAAAAATTAAAAAATTGCTTTCTTCCTTTTCCATAATGCTGAATATAAATAGGTTTCAAACACATCAGTCCTCAGTACAGAAAGTTTGTTTTGTTCTTACCTCAGCGGCTTGGGTCTCCTGATGCAGCAATGTAAGACCAGTCAAATCTTCTAAGAAGGAATGTGAAGAATTAAACACCTTGGTAAGGAAATTAAATCCTTCTTGTTCATATTGATCAAGAACCTGTAAAATATTTATATTTTTAAGGAGGTTGCAGATTTGAAATGCATACTAAAACACATTTGCTTCTAGCAAGCACTTGTCAAAAATGAAACTGAGAATTAAATATGAGGATGATAATACAGTCTGGAAAAAAATACAATCCGGTGGGCAAAAAACTGGGAAGGCTTAGTATTTATCATATTTTTCCTTCTATGAAGGACATCTTCCAGTTCAGATGCCAATTTTTCTCAAATAAAATAAACTTTAATGCAAATTCCCAAATAAAATAAACCTACTCCACGTAAATCCACTAAAAATTCTAGAAGAGTTAGTGTTAGTTACTGGTTCTAAAGTTCACTTCTTAGAACTTGTAGCAGGTAAGAGAAGAACCAAGAAAAAAATTTAAAAGGATAAATGGAAAGGGAGGGACAAAGGATTTTGTCACAAATATGACCTACCAGCTTGCCAAATGTCTTTTTAAAAATAATTCTAAAATAGAAAAATAAATTTCAACAGACATTTCACGAAAGAGGATATCCAAACAGTCACTAAACATGAAAATGTACTCAATGTCACAAGTGGTCAGAGAAATGAAAACTAAAACCACAGTGAAACACTACTTCAAACCTACCAAAAAGGCTAAAATGAAAAAGGCGGAAAATACCAACTGCTGGCAAGGATGTGGAAGAACCAGGACCTTCACAGAAGCACAAAATTGTTGCTTTAGAATTTAACATTTACATGCCCTATGATCCAGCAATTCTATTCCTCAATATATACACCAAGCAAACATGTATATATGTGCATCAGAAGATACAAAAGTGTCAATAGCAGCACTACTCATGATAGCCTCAAACAAGAAACCACTAAAGCGTCCATCAACAATAGAATGAATAAATGAATTTTATATTCATGCTAAGGAATGCTATACAGCAATGAGAACAAACTACATTCATCAAACATAATGTATTCACAAAAGAAGCGATAAACAGTATGTACTGTATAATACATTTATATAAAGTAAAAGAAAACAGGCAAAATCAATCTTTGATGTTAGAAGTCTAGATAGTGGTTACTCATGGAGAGATTATAATAGTAAGGGGGCCCAAGGGACAGTCTAGGGTGCTGGCATTTTTTGTTTCTTTATCTGGGTGTTGGTTACCGAAGTTGTACTTTTTGAGAGTTCATCAAGTTGAACATTTCATTAAGATATGATTTCATTAAGATTTGATTTTTTTGCATAATACTTTTCTGTATATATTATATGTTATCCTTCAATAGATTAAAAGATAAAAGGCCAGTAGTCATGACAAGAGAACAATATGAGAACAGTAAAGAGTTCTTAGATACAAAGAATGATTATCACATTTAGGAATTCAGTGATCTCAGGAACTGTGAATTGCAGAAAGCAAATAGTGAACCAAGATGCCTCAAAAGTTATCCCAGAACTCAGAAGAAAAAGATAAAAAAGATGAATATTTTAAAAAGATGGCAGACATTAAAGACAAATCTAAGAAATCAATGACACATGAATAAATAGACTGGAGGAACAACAATATAAGAAATATTAATAGAAAAAAATTTCTCCTTTCAGAAATGGAAATGTGTGAACCCTTCAATATAGTAATTCCACTTCTAAGACTTTTCATACAGATATAGTTGTGTGTGGGCACAAAGATTGGTGTTTTAAGGATGCTCACTGAAACACTGTTTGCAGCAACAAAAGATTGGCAAGCACCACCCCTTAATAGGGGACTGATTAAATTGTGGTATATTTACAATTGGTTGCATTTTTATATCTATTAAAAGAGAGGCAGATCTATAGCACTGATATGAACTGATTTCCAAGACAGCAATATATTAAAAAAGCAACATCCAGACTCTGTGTATAGTATTTGTGTTTTAAAAAGTCGAGAGAGAGAGGAAGAGAGGAAATTGTATATGAGTATATATACTTTAGGACCCATCTAAGCTTGAGGACTGGCAGGATAAGGATTAAAACATACAAAGTCAGAGACACTGAAGGGCTGGTGAGCACCAGTGAAGGGACTGAGGGTGGGCCTTGACTGGTGAGGAAAGCCCCACAGGCTGGTGGCATCAGAGAGACTGGGAATCCTGGGGAGCTGACCAGGGGATCATTATGCCCCTGGGCACATACAAAGGCTAGGCTGATCAGCCACAGGAAATTAATTTGACAACTCAATGCCTGGATAGTGAGGCATTCTACAAATAACCAAATCCTTCAGTAATAATGTTTCCTTACAAATTGGAATGTTATCTTAGGAAAAATGGAAATTAAGTGATCTTTTTCAAAATGGTAAATACTATGTTTAGTGATCACTTATTTATTTCTAACAGAATTCCTAAGCTCAGAACCCCTAATTTCACTTTATTATGCTTTGCAGATGCTATTTTTTCTTTTTGTAACAAGCTGAAGGTTTGTGGTAACCCTGAGTTGAGCAAGGCCATCAATGCCATCTTTCCAACAGCACGTGCTCACTTTCTGTCTCTGTGTCACATTTTGGTAATTCCTGCAGTATTTCAAACTTTTCATTATTATATTTTTTGTTGTGATCTTTGCTGTCACTATTTTAATTGTTGTAAGGTGCCACAAATCACACCAGCCATTCCCCTGTCTCCCTCCCTCTCCTTGGGCCTCCCTATTCCCTAAGACAGAACAATATTGAAATCAGGCCAAATAATAACCCTACAATGGCCTCTAAGTGTTCAAGTGAAAGGAAAAGTTACACATCTCTCACTTTAAATTAAAAGCTAGAAATTATCATTAAGCTTAGTGAGAGAGGTATGTAGAAAGCTGAGATAGACCAAAAGCTAGGCGTCTTGTGCCAAACAGTTGGCCAAATTGTGAAGGCAAAGGAAAAGTTCTTGAAGGAATTAAAAGTGCTACTCCAGTGAACACATGAATGGTAAGAAAGCAGAACAGCCTTATTTCTGATATGGAGAAAGTTTTAGTGGTTTGAGTATATCAAACCTGCCACAGCATTCCCTTCAGTCAAAGCCCGATCCACTACAAGGCCCTAACTCTCTTCAATTCTATGAAGGCTAAGACAGGTAAGGAAGGTGTAGGAGAAAAGTTTGAAGCTAGCAGAGGTTGGCTGTGAGGTTTAAGGAAAGAAGCCATCTCCATAACATAAACATGCAAGGTGAAGCAGCAAGTGCTCATGCAGAAGCTGCAGCAGGTTATCAGAAGATCTAACTAAGATCATTGGTTAAGGTGGCCACACTAAACAAGAGATTTTCAATGCAGACAAACCAACCTTCTATTAGAAGAAGATGCCATCTAGGACTTTCATAGCTGAGAGGAGAAGTCAGCGCCTCGCTTCAAAACTTTAACCCTTTGCACTCGCTTGCTTTTTTCTCGATTCCTTTATTCTACTCGGGATTTAACTTTTTAAATACCCCAGATTTTACAAAGTGCGGCAGTAGAATAAAAAACTGGAGTTTATTTTCATACAAACTTATTTAATTGGATTTTTTATATTTCAAATTATTGATACATTCAAAGAGTAATTTTAATCTCTATAATTTTTCATGGTGTGATGTTTTTTGAAACATTCTCCCACACGAAGACCTGGTTTATCTTCACACGTTTTGCAAATATAAATCGTCTCTCTTCTTCCTCCTTTGATTTTTCTGTTAGAACAAACAACACAATCTTTGTGGTTTTTGTTAGGGTGAGGTGTGATTATATGGAGCTTTCCATCTAAACGTTGCTCTTAGTGGATAATAATCTACCCTTGGAAGTTAGTGTACCATCTCTGCATTTACTTGTCCTTTCATGCTAATGAAAACAAGAAAAGATACTGGAAAAACAGACAAAAATCCCCCTCCCCCACGGTGAAACTACGTGTCGAGTGTGGATCAACATACGAGCTGCTACCGATGCTAACCGTGTCGAGTCACACTCGACATCTGAGTGCAAAGGATTAAAGGACAGGCTTAACTCTCTCTTATTAGGGGCTAATGCAGCTGGTGACTTGAAGTTGAAGCCAATGCTCATTTACTATTCAAAAAAATCCTAGAGCTCTTAAAAATGCTAAACTTACTCTGCCTGTGCACTATAAATGAAACACCAAGGCCTGGATGACAGTACATCTGTTTACAGCATGGTTTATTGAATATTTTAAGCCCACTGTTGAGACCTACTGTCCCAACACAAAGATTCCTTTCAAAACAGGAATTACAGCACATTGACAATGCACCTAGATACCCAAGAGCTCTGATGGAGATATACAAGGAGATGAATGTTTCTTTCATGCCTGCCAACCCAACATCTATGCTGCAGCCTATACAGTCAGGAGTAACCTGTAGGTCAGCCTATATAGGTCAGGACTTGACTTTCAAGTCTTATTATTTAAGACAGCAGCTCCCAACCTTTTTGGCACCGGGGACCCATTTTCACAGCAGACAAATTTTCCATGGACCAGGGGATTGTCTGGGGATAATTCAAGTGCATTACATTTATTGTGCACTTTATTTCTATTACTATTACATTGTAATATATAGTGAAATAATTATACAACTCACCATAGGTTGGAGACCCCTGATTTAAGAAATACATTTCATAAGGCTATAGCTGCCATAGGTAGTGAGGATCAATGGATCTGGGCTAAGCAAACTGAAAACCTTCTGGAAAGGATTCACCATTCTAGATGTCTTAAGAGCATTCATGATTCAGGGGAGGAGGTCAAAGTTTCTACAATAACAGGAATTTGGAAGAAGTTGATTTCAATCCTCATGGATGACTTTGATGGGTTTAAGAGGAAATAACTGTAGATATGGTAGAAATAGTAAAAGAACTAGAATTCAAAGTGGAGCCTGAAGATATGACCGAATTGCTACAATCTCATCATCAAACTTCAATGGATGAGAAGTTGCTTCTTAGGCATGAGCAAAGAAAATGGTTTCTTGAGATGGAATCTACTCCAGGTAAAGATGCTGTGGACATTGTTGAAATGACAGGATCTAGAATGTAACATAAATTTAGTTGATAAAGCAGC